GGTCGTAGGTGAAAAATATTTGATTTTTGAAACAAGTCCAAAGCACAATAATTATAGATATCAAAATTAAAAACCCTTTATATTGAAGATACGTGTTTAATGAATAAAGTTATACGTAATATATAAAATAATATAAAAAGCAAACTTTTCTCCATTAAGCAATATTAAAAGTATTTTTTCCCTTTCTTTCTTTACCATTTCTTTCTACGGTAGACCAGTTGCTATCCAAGTCTATAGAACCCGGTCTGTTCTGTTATCTACCCATTGCTGTGGGGAGAAGAAGAGGTTTCATAACTTTCCCCTGGGTAGTAGCACGTAAGTGAATGTAACGTATTCGACTGGAATTCGAACTCAGCTCTACGATTCCTCAATCCAAGCCGCTACCAATTCCTATACCGTGCCCCCTAAAAAGGTGAGAGATAAATAAAATAGTTAAAGAAGTAAAAAAATAAATAAATAAAGAAAGAAAGAAAGAAGAAGAAGAAGAGGAGGAGGAGTTTGAGGAGGAAACGAAATGTGTCCTACAAAGGTAATCAATCATTATCGATCATGTAACTTTCGGTACATGACTGACGAGGGAGATTTTTCCAGCAGTAGTTACAATCCAAGGCTATAGAACCCGGTCTGTCTTGCTATTTACCCATAGCTGAGGGCAGAAGAAATGGATTCATACCTTTCCCAAGGGTATTAGCACGTGAGTGAGTGCAATGGATTCGACTGCAATTCGAACTCGGCTCTCCGATTCCAGTTCAAATTTCAGTACAGACACGTCTATTAAGAGGATCCCGCGAAGCCGATCTTTAAAAGTGGTTCAAAATATTGCATTTACAGTATAAAGAAAATGTAAACACCGTACATGTTAAGTATCACATAACATCAGAATTTGGGCAAATAAAATTCACTATATTGATTTACCCAAACGTAAGTGAATGTAATGGGATCGACTGGGATTCGAACTCGACTCTCCGATTCCTGAATCCGTAAACGCCATCCATTACTCCTCCGTAACTCCTAAAAATGTCATACATAAATAAAATAGGTAAAGAAATAAAAAATAAAGAAAGAAAGGAGAAGAAGACGAAGATAAAGAAGAAGAAGAAGAAGAAGAAGAAGAAAAAGAAGAAGAAGAAGAAAGGTAAACAAGAAGAAGTAAAAGAAAAGGAAAAGAAATGCGTTCTAAAAAGGTAATCAGTCAGTTATGTGCCATGTGTGATACACGTTTAGGCGATCATGTATCTTTCGATACATGACTGACGAGGCAGGATTTTCCTCTTTGCCATTTCTTTCTTTATCATTTCTTTTTGCGGTAGACCAGTTGCCATCCAAGGCTATAGAACTCGGTCTGTTCTGCTATCTACCCATAGCTGGAGGGAGAAGAAGAGGATTGATACCTTTCCTAAGGGTATTATCACGTAAGGGAATGTAATGGATTCGACTGGAATTCGAACTCGGCTCCCCGATTTCTCAACTCGAGTCGCTATCCATTACTCCACGTAAATAATTGCCCTTTTGATTGTAGACATCATGCCATAATACTGAATATTACAATGTTGACTGCAGACATCATGGAGAGCTAAATATCATTTTCGTTTTGATTTCAGACATGATGGCGTGCCAGATAACATTTTGTCTTCAGCTACTGACATTAAGCCACACACACTGGAACCATCATAAAATTCAGGACATGTAATTAATAAATTGTAAACAATCTCTGCGCATTTTATATAAATACTTTCATGGTAATTATTCGAGCGAGCTCTACGGTGTGGTACCCAGATTTTGTAAATTTAAGCGCAGTACTAGTCTGGCAAAAAGGTCTTATCAATTTACAATTCTAATGTCTCCAAGTAACCGTAAGTTCTTTACTAATTGTTTCTTTTCTCGGACTTCTCGCTTGTGGAACTCTCATCCAGCTAAATGCTTTCAAACTAACCTTAATCTTCAAATATTTGAACGCAATGTCATTAGTTATCTATTTTTTTTAATTACTCTTCTTTTGGTCTTGCTCCTTGGTAATGTTCTTGTTTTCCAATTCTTCACCACCCAGTCCCCCACCCCTTGTATCTTAGTGGCTTTATTGCCTTGCTTGGAGTGAAATATATGTGCGCCTGAAAAATTATTTCCGTTGAGCTCTCGTGGGAGAATGTGGGAGTTTTTAAACAGTGACTAATACTGCTATTAGTGCAATACTCTTCGATAAAACGAATCGAGTTCTCTCAGTCACTGGCGTGTTTATTTAAAAATAAATACTCTTAAATTCACCTTCATCATTGCCGTGCGCCAACGGTTTAGGGGTAGATTCTCCAACTGACGCCAGTTCAGCCTGGTTTCGATTCTAGCTAGAGACAACGGAAACTCTAGCTACACATAAACTGCGAAACAGCCTGTATGTGGATGATTTTATATATATATATATATATATATATATATATATGTATATATATATATATATATATCTTTCTCTCTATCTATCTGTTTATAATACGTCCTTCTCTTTCTCTATTTGATCGTATCTCTCCCTCAATTTGTTTCTCTCTTTATATATATATATATATATATGTATATCAGTTTATATCTCCCCTTTATCTCTCCTCTCCCCCCTCTCTCTATCTATCTAGATATGAAGAAATATAGTTTTAATGTGTGCTATATTTATGGGATAAAGTGCTCAATATCAGATATGGAACGTATATACATATATATATATATATATATATATATCAGTTCATTCATATTCATCATTATATTCCTACTCTTATTTCGGTAATTCCATCTCACTCTCTCTCTCTCTCACTCTCTCTCTCTCTCTCTCTCTCTCTCTTTTTCTCTCGCCATGATTGTTTTCGCCGTTTATATATTTACACGCAGAAAGAAAATTAAAATACTTTCGGACATTTTATGAGCACTCGGAGGAAACAGAGTGTAAAAAATGATTTTTGTCTTTCTTTCTTTCTTCACCTAATATTGAAGCTGTAGCTTTTACATTAACTGAATCTGCTCTTATCAGCTAGATAAGCAAGCGTATCAGTTACGCGAATGAAGTCGGCTCATAAGTGAAATCCCCCAGCGTAAGCCGCTAAGTACACTGAAAGAAAGCCGTTTTCAAAACCGGATGTCACAAGACTCATTCACTTGCGCTGGAATAAATGACGCCAGCCTTTAATCTTCTTTTTCCTATCTGTTAAATTTTGATATATTCTTAAACTTATTTAAATGAAAAAAAACAAAAACAAAATGGCGTTTCCTCTATGTTGCACTCATTTCAATTTCCATTTCTTATCTGAATAAAGTCGTCTGCTTTAACACGAAAAGTAAAGAAAAATAAGAGGACACACAATAGAATATGACAGTCGGTTGTACAGGTGTGGTTGGAGATAAGTGTCTCTGAGAATATTGTTTCCCGCGTTCGGATTTTACAAGATTAAATCGAATCCGCTGTGTATATTTGTCTGTAATTAACTATAGGTATAAAATAAAAGCTAATTATTTCCAAAATAATTATAGAATGTAATAAAAGAAAATTATTCTCGAATAAATCTCCCTCTATATATAAAGAAGGTTTACGGCCATATCACATTCAGATAACGGTTCTCGTACGGTCGTCAAAATCAAGCCTGTCAGTAACTCGATGTGTAACCACTTGGGAATACGAGATGCTGTCAGCTTGGGGTGTGCGGGTGGCGTAATGGATAATTTCATGGAATTGTTAATCGGAGAGCAGAGATCCAATCTAGTTGTTTTCTTTATATTCTTTTTTTCTTTATCACCGGTTTAAGACAGTAAAATTGGTGTTTCTTGGGCAAGATTCCAAGCCGGTTTTGAATTCAGAGTTGTTCTTCTTCTAGACCATTTGCCATCCACGGCTATAGAACCCAATCTCTCCTGCTATTTACCCATAGCTGGGATGAAAAGACGAGGAATCACACCTTTCCCAAGATTATTAGCACGTAAGTGAATGTAAGAGATCCGAATGGAATTCGTACTCGGCTCTCCGATTCCTCAATCCGAGCCGCTATTCATTACTCTACAGTGCCTCCTTAGTGATACAAGTCTAATTAACCCATAGCTGGGGGGAGAATAAGAGGATTCATACCTTTCCTAAAGGGTATTAGCACGTAAGTGAATGTAATGGATCCGACTGGAATTCGAACTCGCCTCTCCGATTCTTCAATCTGAGCCGCTATCCATTACTTCCCAATATATTCACTTACATGCACATTCACTTCTCCTCCCAGTTACGGGTTAATTAGTATAACTTGTATCACTAAAACTCTTATTATCTTCAAAATCGGATTTCGGTATTAAATAACAAATACAGGTCGATATGTCGCGAAAGAAAAACTTCACCATATTATGTTGAAACACCGACCACGGAAGTAAAGCAATGTCGAGCCTGATAGCTACTTGGATGGGCGACCGCTTAGGAATACCCGGTTTTGGAAGCTTACATGTGCGATTGGTGTAATGAATAATGGCTCAGAATTGTGAATCGGAGAGCCGAGTTCGAATCCCTGTTGAGTTCGTTATATTCCCTTACACACAAATACCCCTGGGGAACGTATGAATCCACATTTTCTCTCCCCTAGCTATGGGTCAATTAGTGAACCTTGTATCACTAAATCATTATTATCCTCCCCTCCCCAAAATCCTTACAACCTAAAATAAATTTTTGCTTTTATTTAATCTAGAAAGTGTTGATAACCCATAGAAAATGAATTAATAACCATGGACAATCTTCTTATAGATAACGAAGTCAAATAAGGTAACAGAACATTAAATATCTAAGAAGGGTTTTAAAAGGTAACAGAAAATGTGACACTGAAATCCAAAGCAGCATTAGAATAGTGAAAGATGCCTTCCAAAAGCTAAGCAAAATATTAAGAAACAAGAAAACTTCATTAGTAAAAAAAAAAAAAAACAACTTCTAAACTACCATGTGTTATCAGTCATTCTATACAGCAGTGAATGTTGGACAATCTCCCAAGCTTATGTCCGCATCACAGTGAAGCACCAGCTCCCATGTGATCACCTAAGTTGAGCAACATAGAGCCTGGTCAGTACCTAGGTCGGTGACTGCTTGGGAATGTAAGTGCTGTAAGCTTGGATGTGCAAGTGGTGTAATCGACAATGGCTCAGTATTGTTTATCGGAGAGCTGAGTTCGAATCCCAATGAAGTTCATTATATTAACTTACGCTCAAATACCCTTGGGAAAGGTATGACCTCACCTACTTACCCCTCAGCTATGGAATAATAAATACGATTTCTATCACTAAATCCTTATTATCTCCCACCCAGAAATTCTCACAACTTAAAATATTTTCTAGCTTTAAATAACCTGCAAAGGGTTTATAGAAAATGAATCCAGGAATGTATATAGAGAAAGAGATCGTAGAAAAGGTGGAGACACATGAACTGAAATTTATTTGAAGTGTGAAAGTGATGCTAGCTAAGCAGGAGGGATTCATATGTGCATAATTCATGCATGTGATCTTTTTTTTTTTTTACAATGGTGTTCTGGTGTAAAAAGTATAAGAGCCACTCAAGGCAGATAGTTACAGAGTAAGAGGAAAAATTTATGGGGATATGTGGGGACGATACGGGTGATACTAGACCTGAACAGGTTAAGACTGTATCGATGGAGGAAGCTACAACTTGGGAGTCGGTTCCACACAGTGGCTGTTCTTGGAAAAAAATATTATATGCTCCTATTCCAGATGCTAAGGACATTTTGTTTTGTTATTATTAGTTACTTTGCTTAATAAATTCATTTCGTTTTGCCTTGAAAATATTACAGTTTGCCTATTGTCTTTTACATTTATAAATATTGTCTTTTGTCTTTTTCTACAGGTTAACTCTAAGAAATTTTTCATATATTTATTTAAAATATGATTCCAACGCTACATAAGAGTTCTCATGTTTCAAAACAAGAGCCGAAAACTTCAATATAATTATTTGAATTAAAGTACTAAGCTCAGTTCCATCTTCAAGCGAAATTAATCCATCTTCAAGCGTATATTAATTTTATATATTTTTACAAGCACACACACACACACACACACACACACACACACACACACACACACACACACACACACACACATATATATATATATATATATAAGTGTGTGTGTATATATATATATATATATATATATATATATATATATATATATATATATATATATATATAAAAGAAAGAGGTTGTAGTGGTTCTAACGAGAGAAAAGTATGTATATTAAAAAAAGAGAAGAGGAGGTGCAAACGTTTTTGGTTGTAATGTGGATTTATTTAGAAAAAATATTATGCTTTGTTTTCCATAATTTTACTACACGTGTTTCTAGTCTCATGACCGTCTTCAGGTAAAAGCGGAGATTTCCACATATTATTAAAATAATTAATTTTTTTCCTGTATGTTATGGAAAACAAAAGCATAATATTTTTTTCTAAATAAATCCACATTACCACCAAAAATATTTTCGACACCTCTTCTGTTCGTTTTTATTATATATATATATATATATATATATATATATATATATATATATATATATATATATATTCTAAAAGCAATGGTAGTATACAAATACGAGGGGGTGCTGAATAGTGCTTTGTTCAAGCTCACTCATTCACCCACTCAACTCTAGGTAGGTCCTGAGACCTGGCAGCCCATAAGCATATCCTCCTATCGAGGTAGTGTAAATAATGAGAATGAACCCATCATCGGCTTGATAGACATCTCGCGCAGTTTAGTTCAATAGGTATTTCCCTAGCGGTCGGCCATCCGAGTCGATAGGCTCAACGTTGCTTAACTTCTGTGAATCGGCAAGTATCGATGTTTCAATCTGGGAAACTGTGGTTCAAAATATTCCTCGACATGACAATTCTGATTTTTACTGAATGAAATTATGATTTTGCGTGTGTTTATATGTTTGTGTGTGTGTGTGTGCGCGCACGCGTGTGTTTTTCCGTGTGCATAAGTGTACTTATGTGTGTGTGCAGGAGTGTTTTGACGCATATGCGTGCGTCCGTGTTTCTGCACGTCTCAGAAGGCGTCTTTGTCGAAAAGTTAGGGGATTTGAAGCGATAGAGTAATCTGGTCATCTATGAGGTCACCGCGTACTGGGTAAGACGATAAACTACATCCGCGATATAATGAAATTTGTTTGTTCTTGAAAAACTATTGCGTCGTCCGTGATTGCATCATATTTTATCACGCCCAGACACTATTGTCTCGATTGTCGATTAGTTGTCCTGAGGCCATTATCTGCGATGGACGTTACTCCAATGAAGCGTACGAAAGTTGTAACGCTGCACGAACACACTGACAAGCCTTACCAGTGAGCAAATCAAAGTACTATAGATTGGCCCGGAAACTCTCCTCATTTAATTCCAGTCGAATAATTTACAGAATTATTTAAGTCAAAATAATCTGAGCATTTAGATTTTCTTAAAACTATACCGAAATAATTACACAAGTAAAAATTAGTAAATTAGCTGAATTAATCTTATTATTATTATTTTACAAAATATTAGACAGCAATTCAAGTTGCCTTAGCACAATGCCTAAAGCAACTTGAGAAAATAAATGTCTTGCTGAAAATGTTATTTATGCAAATATTTTATAGAGGATTGTGAAATTCTCTTACAAGTTATTTTCCGTAGAACAGGTATTTTAGAGATTGAGTAATCTGACCATTTGTAAGGCTATCCAATGTTGCCAATGACTTGCCGGAAATACTGTTCATATCACGAAAGTACTCCAAGAAGAAATAAAGAATATCCCGTCTTGTTATCAAAAGTTTCTTTCTTTGAGGAATTAATTTTGTGTCATAAATACTAGAAACTTTCTTTAGCACTGTTCGTGTAAGCGTATTTAATTAATTTATATATATATATATATATATATATATATATATATATATATATATATATATATATATATATATATGCCCTCTTTTCATTCCTTTTTCCAAGGGAAAAAAAATTAGGTAAACGTTTGAATTCTCCATTGAATCATTTATTGATATAATGTTGGCAGCTTTATTTGACCTCTGAGAGTGTGGTAAACACAATACCCGTACAATATACATACATACATACATATATATATATATATATATATATATGTTTGTGTGTGTATATGTGTTTGTGTGTGTGCATCATCTTTAAATGGCTCTCTCTCTCTATATATATATATATATATATATATATATATATATATATATATATATACACACGCACACACACACACATTCGGCATATATTTATAGAGTTCCCATTATATGTTCGTGTACTAAATAGCCTGGTACAGAGATTGACGCTACAGCTGTGGCTTGCCACTATACAGGTGGTCCCCGTCATAATCAGCCTCACTTTCACCACTGTCAATATTCTTTTTTTAGTCACTGTTTGCTATTCTTTAAGCAAATAAATAGACCCGCATCTTGTTCGACGGCGTTACCTTTTCGTATAGGCGCGCCAGGAATTAGATGTTCAGTCCGAATAGACTTCAGATGCAGGACTATTGTTGGCATTTCAAAGGATGACAGGAAGTGAAAACAGAAAGTGTTAGGAATTGAAAAAAATGGTAAAATAATCCATAGTGTCTGTTTTGATAGTTTTAGTTTTTCAGTTGCTTTGCCTGAGTATACGGGACTCCGCCCGATTTTGGTAAATATGGATACGTTGGTTTTAGAATTACAGGACAGGTGTTGGTCACAGAAATTGATACAAGAATTTTAAAAGGAAAGAAAGTATAACGAGAGGAAACAAAAGGAAAGAAAGAAAGAAAGAAAGAAAGAAAGAAAGAAAGAAAGAAAGAAAGAAAGGCAAAATACTGAAGAAAATGGAAATACACTGGATAAATAGAATGGAAAGAAAGAAAGAAAGAAAGAAAGAAAGAAAGAAAGAAAGAAAGAAAGAAAGAAAGAAAGGCAAAATACTGAAGAAAATGGAAATACACTGGATAAATAGAATGGAAAGAAAGAAAGAAAGAAAGAAAGAAAGAAAGAAAGAAAGAAAGAAAGAAAGAAAGGCAAAATACTGAAGAAAATGGAAATACACTGGATAAATAGATTGAAAATAAAGAAAGAAACAAAGAAAGAAAGAAAGAAACAAACAAACAAACAAAATATAAATTTAAAATATATATCACAATGGAAATACACTGGAAAGAACAGATTGAAAAGAAAGAAAGAAAGAAAGATAGAAAGAAAGAAAGAAAGAAAGAAAGATAGAAAGAAAGAAAGAAAGAAAGAAAGAAAGAAAGCCAAAATACTGAAGAACGTGAAAAAATAAAGAGTTAGAGGCAATAGATCGAAGAAAGAAAGAAAAAAAGTGATGTAAAGAAGGAAAGATAAAAAATGAAACGTTGATAAGTGAAAAAAGCAAGAAAGAAAAAAAGTGATGAAGGAAAAAGAGAGAAAGATGGAGAGAAAATTTGATAATGGAAAAATAAAAAAGAAAGAAAATGATGATAAAAAAGAAAGAAGTCACACGTGAAAAAGGAAAAGATATAAGTGAAAGAGGAAAATGAAAGGAAATGGGGGATTAGTGTAAAACAAAGGAAAGTAAGAAAGAGAAATAAAGAAAGACGGAAAGAAACGTCTTCCTTAGGGAAATTGATACAAGAACTTTAAAAAAGAAAGAAAAAAATTATAGCGTGATAAAAGATAGGTAATGAAAGAAAAAAACATTTCAGAAGAAAAAGAAAGATTTAGCGCCAATATAGCGAAGAAAGGAAAGATATAATAACGAACAGAGAAAGAAAGTAAGGAAAAATATCGAGCAACGAAAGAAAGAAAGAAAGAAAGAAAAAGATGATCCGCGAAAAAGACAAAAATAGAAAGGAAAAGGCAGTAAGTGAAAAAAATAGAAAAAATTGATAAATTGAAAAGAAGGAAATATAGAAAGAAAAAGTAATAAATAAAAAAGAAAAGAAAAGATAAGTGAGAAAGAAAGAAAGAAAAACTTGATAAATACAAGAAAAAAGAGAAAGATTGTAAGTGAAAAAGAAAGAAAGGGAAATATTGAAGAAATAGACAGAAAGTGTTAGACAATAAATGAATAAAGACATAATATTAAAATAAAGGTAGTGTTTCTAAATAAAGGCATAACATTTAAATAAAGGCATACTATCAAAATGACATAATATCAAAATAAAGGCATAATATCTAAATAAATGCATACTATCTAAATAAATGCATACTATCTAAATAAAGACTTCGTATCTAAATAAAGGCATAATATCAAAAATATCAAGATAAAGGCATAATATCAAAATAAAGGCATAATATCAAACAGGAAAGGAGAAGATATTTATCGACAAAACAAAAATTAATTTAAGTAGTATCACTAACAGGCACAAAGAAATACAAACCATTCTACTTGTATGTATCGTGTCGCTTCAGGATGTTGGCGATCATGGCTCTCCACAATGTCCTGCTTTTTGTACCTCTTAATAATCTTTGTCTTTCTGCCATCTCTCCCAAGTCCTGTGCCACCATCGATTCAATCAAGTTCACCAGGTGGGTCATACGTTGTTTCCTTCTATCTCTCTGCCCTATGAGTATCAAATTTTCCAAGCTCTCTTGCCTCATTTTGTGTTCCAGAAATTTCAACTGTCTCTTTACGTACGTGTCCATTTTGTCGCTAATGTCTCTAGAACACCGTCGTTGCTCACATGCCCCGATCTTGGTATTCTCAGCTTCCTTCTGTAGAACCACATTTCTGTTGCTTCAAGTCTCTTCAACATAGTCCAAATATCCATTGCCGTGGAAGAGGACTGATACTACATCGGTACTCTTTGTTACTAACGAGCTTTTCTTGTTTCTTAATACTTTACTTAGCATTTGGAAGGCATCTTTTTCTATCCGAATTGCGCCTTCAGATTTCAGTGTCTCACTTTCTGTCCTCTGTTGAAACGCTTCACAAATATCTAAATTGTTACACCTCTTTGGTTTGGGTATCTCCAATCTGTAATTTGTGTGTCGTGTTGTCCTTTTTGCTAACAACCATGGGTTCAGTCCTTTTGTAATTCAGGCTTAGTCCTTTCTTCTCGCTTTCCTTCACTATCTTTTGTAGAAGTTCTTGTAGTTTTCTTCCCGTGTCTGCAATCAACACTGTGTCATCTGCAGATCTCATGTTGTTAGGATTGTGGCTGCCAATGATGAATCCTTGTAGGACTTTTAAAATCATTAAAAAATTGAGAATAAATTTAAAAGTAAACAAAAGAACTGAGCACCATAAGAAATGATCAACATCTCTAAACTGTAGGCGTCCATTTTGATGGAAACGGTGTTCACACTGAAAACATCACTCCAATCGTTTCTCTACTTGGCTCTCTCAATTTTTCCGTTATAGGAAAAGATTAGAAAAACGTATCTTTCAAAATAAGCAGCTTTTTTCTTTCAGCATCCCTAGTTTTTTCTTAACTTCTCTTTTTTTTTTTTTAATATTACTGTTCTTTTTCTCTTTCCTTATCTGAAACATTGTATTTATTTGTCTTTTTCTTATTGCTTTACTGGTCATCTTCCTTTCTTTCTTTCAAATTTATAAATGCCCTTGACTTCATTGTTTATTCATTTTATTTCAATGTTTGTTTATTTATGTTTACATTTCAAATCTAAGGCGGTACTAGCTTTCTTTCTTTCTTTCTTTCTTTCTTTCTTTCCAATCTATTCTGTCCAGTGTATTTCCATTTCAATTGTGATCAATATTTTAATTTTCTTTCTTTCTTTCTTTCTTTCTTTCTTTCTTTCTTTCTTTCTTTCTTTCTCCTTCCTTCCTATGATTATTATTTTTTTTCTTTTCCTTCTCATCCTTCTTTTCTTCATTCTTACTTTTCTTGTCTTTTTTCTCGTTTTCCTTTCTTTCTTAGATTCTTTTGTCTGTTTTCTTTATATTTCTTCTTTTCTCCCTTCTTTTCTTCCTTCCTTCCTTCTTTATTTCTATGATTTATTTATTTTCTTTCTTTCTTTCTTTCTTTATTCTTTCTTTCTTTCTTTCTTTTTTTCTTTCTTCTTTCTTTCTTTCTTTCTTTCTTTCTTTCATTCTTTGATTACTGTTTTTATTCTTTTTTACCTTTTTTATTTCTTTCTTTCCCCGCTTTCTTTTTTATCGATATTTTGTATTTTTCTGTTCTCACTAATTTCGGTAATCTTCTCGTCTGTGACTGCATTCACTGCCAGGTATTCATTAATACTTTTGGCCCTTACGCGCATCCATAGACAAGCCAGTCTACCACAAAGCATAATGTAGAAACTGTCCTCTATAAAAGTTGCTGGAAGGAGAACGTGATAATGAGACAAATACAAACAGAAACAGCAAAAGATTACCAACACACACTCGAGAGGCTCAGATGATGAGGATTTTTTTCAATCCAAGCAAGGCAATAAAGCCACAAAGATACAAGGGCTTGCTGAGTGTGAGAGAGTATGAGAGAAAATCTATTAAGGGGAGACAATTATCGCAGGAAATCATTTTTATGAGGTATTGATAGACTTGCTTATGTTACGATTTTATTTTAAGTGCGGGCATAGCTGTAATATTAACGAGTATAACTTGAATGTTTCTTTTATATAATATTTTCAACTTGATAGTAATCTTAAAATTTAAGAAAATATTCTCAGCAATCTAATATTTTATTGAATTTTAGATCATCAACAACCTCATCATTATTATATTTATCAGTCCTCTGATCGTACATCACCGTGTAATGCTGTTTGGCAACTTAGCACCTGCTCAGATCATGCGAAACGTTTCTTGCTCAATTAGACCTAGAGAAATTAAAAAAAGAAAGAAAACAGAAATTATTATTACTGATCCCAGTGCTCCAACTTCGACCGGTACTACTGTCTTCTGCATGGTTCATAATGTATACTGTTATCTGACGACGGCCAAAATTTTGATATTTTTTTTAATTTTATTAGAACAAAGCAAATCCATTTTCCGAAAAGTTCTTCATATTTATGGCAATTCAATCCGGTTTTCAGGTCTGGTTTGGGTGATCTACTTGAATCCGAAGCGTATTTTGGCGTATTTCAATTTTCGGAAACTGATTCTCTTTTGTACAAGAACAGCTGATCTGCACTAATGAATCACAGTCGTTGTGTTTTCAGTGAGGTAATATTTTATTCCTTAACATCTTTCCAACCTATTTCCCATTAGCTTATTTCCCAGAGATTTATTATTATTATTATTATTATTATTATTATTATTATTCACCTCTGCCTTTTCCTTCTTCTTTATCCTCATCTTCTTCATTTTCTACTTCTCTATCCTATTCACCCTCATCTTCTTCTTCCCATTATTATTATTATTATTATTATTATTATTATTATTATTCCCCTCTGCCTTTTCCTCCTTCTTTATCCTCATCTTCTTCATTTTCTACTTCTCTATCCTATTCACCCTCATCTTCTTCTTCCCATTATTATTATTATTATTATTATTATTATTATTATTATCATTATTATTATTCCCCTCTGCCTTTTCCTCCTTCTTTATCCTCATCTTCTTCATTTTCTACTTCTCCATCCTATTCACCATCATCTTCTTCTTCCCATTATTATTATTATTATTATTATTATTATTATTATTATTATTATTATCCCCTCTGCCTTTTCCTCCTTCTTTATCCTCATCTTCTTCATTTTCTACTTCTCTATCCTATTCACCTCATCTTCTTCTTCCCATTATTATTATTATTATTATTATTATTATTATTATTATTATTATTATTATTCCCTCTGCCTTTTCCTCCTTCTTTATCCTCATCTTCTTCATTTTCTACTTTCTATCCTATTCACCCTCATCTTCTTCTTCCCATTATTATTATTATTATTATTATTATTATTATTATTATTATTATTCCCTCAGCCTTTTCCTTCTTCTTTATCCTCATCTTCTTCATTTCTACTTCTCCATCCTATTCACCCTCATCTTCTTCTTCCCATTATTATTATTATTATTATTATTATTATTATTATTATTATTATTCCCTCAGCCTTTTCCTTCTTCTTTATCCTCATCTTCTTCATTTTCTACTTCTCTATCCTATTCACCCTCATCTTCTTCTTCCCATTATTATTATTATTATTAATATTATTATTATTATTATTATTATTATTATTATTCCCTCTGCCTTTTCCTCCTTCTTTATCCTCATCTTCTTCATTTTCTACTTTCTATCCTATTCACCCTCATCTTCTTCTTCCCATTATTATTATTATTATTATTATTATTATTATTATTATTATTATTCCCTCAGCCTTTTTCCTTCTTCTTTATCCTCATCTTCTTCATTTTCTACTTCTCCATCCTATTCACCCTCATCTTCTTCTTCCCATTATTATTATTATTATTATTATTATTATTATTATTATCATTATTATTATTCCCTCTGCCTTTTTCCTCCTTCTTTATCCTCATCTTCTTCATTTTCTACTTCTCCATCCTATTCACCATCATCTTCTTCTTGCCATTATTATTATTATTATTATTATTTTTATTATTATTATTATTATTATTATTATTCCCCCTCTGTCTTTTCCTTCTTCTTTATCCTCATCTTCTTCATTTTCTACTTCTCCATCCTATTCCCCATCATCTTCTTCTCATTATTATTATTATTACTATTATTATTATTATTATTATTAGAAATTATTATTATTATTATTATTATAATTATTCCCCATTGTCTTTTACTTCTTTATCCTCATCTTCTTTATTTCCTCCTTCTCATATTCACCATCATAATCTTCCCATTATTATTATTTACAAATACTTTCCTTTTTTAATTTTTTTTCTGCTAATATATCATCGTTTTATTATTATGATGATTTTTGCTTTTCATCTTATCTCATAATACACATACATACATACATATATATATATATATATATATATATATATATATATATATATATATATATATTTCCAGTTTTTTTCATATTTTCATATTTTTATACTGTTGATAGAAAACTGGATATGTGCACATATGTCCGAGAACGCGCTAAACATCCAAGCCCCTTCTTCACTCTACATAAAACTCAGCAGATGCCATCTTCAGGGGGCCCCAGCAGAAGTACTGTTACAGGAACAGAGGGAACCGTGGCTGAAGGCATTGCCTCAGCGCCTGCCAAAATTTGAGCGGAATCAGTTTACGACTGGCGTCATCCTGTAAGTCACACCAAGGCCGACGGATGCCCATAAAAATAAAGCAGAAATGGAAAACGGAATGGAAAGGAAAAAAAAAACTCAAGAATATTAATAAAAAAAAGGGACGTTTTAGAATATTCATGTTGTAGGTGCTGGTTTCATAAACACTCAGATTCAGCTGAGGAAAATTGCATAGATATGTTTCTACAAGGTAAGACTATACAAGGCACGTCAGCGTAAATGACGGTTTCGTATAGGATGCAGGTTCGAATCCTGTCAAAGGACGAATATTTTCTATGAAAATTTCTCGGACAATCAGGCCGGTAAATGTTATTTAATACTGTTTATTATAAACAGAGCATTTACTTAAATACTTGTATCTATAAAAGAACGTTAAACATAAAAATGTCTTTAATAAATAAATTATCGGACTTTGTCCATTTCTTAATATATGACGTCATTTGTTTACATTTGATACGCCATGAGCAGTTATGAATGTACGAGATTCATGGAAGATTGAAGTTTATAAGCAGTAAATTCAACCTTGCCAACCGAACGATCCTTTGTGGCCGAGCGGTCAAGGCACGTCAGTGTAAATGACGGTTCCGTATAGGATGCAGGTTCGAATCCTGTCAAAGGACAAATATTTTCTATGAAAATTTCTCGGACATTCAGGCCGGTAAATGTTATTTAATACTGTTTATTATAAACAGAGTATTTACTTAAATACTTGTATCTATAAAAAGAACGTTAAACATAAAAATGTCATTAATATATATATATGGAAGAATAGGTATTGGTTTTATCTAAAGTATGTTACATAACGTATTATATAGTACGTATATATGCATTATTCATGCTGATGTTTTACAATGTATTCTTTAGTTTTCGATTTATAAAGAAATTAGTTAAATTTTGCCTTCATTGAGCTTGATTATTTGCTAATACTTTTTAGTCTGTTAATATCATTATAGATATGTTCTCCTGCACACAAAGATTATAGTTTTGAGATTTATTTTTGTAAAACAAAAATTGTGAAATTGCAATATTAGTAAAAAAAAAGCGGTCTCTTAAACCCCCCTCCCCCCAAAAAAAATCTACCTAACGTTGCGACAGCAAGCTCCAATAGTTTGTATTCGTTAACAATAACACATTTAAAAAAAATTATTTCGATTCCCATTACATTTTTTCGTATCGGATGCTACCAGAATTTTATCAAAAACAAAATAATTTCCCTGCTTGAAGATGACTGAATGTACAGTTGAAAGCACTTGCGTATTAAATAAAGACCTTATACAGCTTATAATATTTTTTAAAAAAAAAACAAGAATCATAACATTCATTGAGTGATTTGTAGGTTAATGCAAATTTGTTAGCGAAGGGATTTCGCCATTTTATATCATTAACTTTACTAATCTATATTTTGTATAAATGATTCATTGTAATATATATATATATATATATATATATATATATATATATATATATATATAGTTTGAAAAGGACGGATCGCATTCTTTTAAAGGGACCTTTTTCGTTCAACACTTCTTCAGAAAGATTCGTTGGATTAACAATAATCAAAACATCGAAAATGAAAAAGGCAAATATGGGGGCTAAATAATGAGTCATGACTAAAACGAATTAATTACTAAAAACAAATCGGTGTAAATAATGACCTAGTGAGGATAAAATACAAAACAATTGTACTCACGACCGACCCATGGGACACAGAGCACGAAGAATGTTCTCCTTATATCCGCACAAACTCGTACAATGAAGCTTGATGCAAACAGTAAATGTTTAAGCGAACGAGCCCCGTGCAGCACACTGAACACTCTGTTAACATATTCGGAAGCGCAACCCGAGTTGTTAATTAAATGAAGTCCAATCGCTGACTCACAAACTGACTGAGTCAAGTGATTACTGTTACTAGCTGCACCCTGTCTTAGATAGGCAGACGAGTGTTGTCCAATGCGGGTCTCCAATCTTAAGTTGGTTGGTCGCCCATAGTAACCCGACATTTTAACTGAAAAATTAAGGAACTAATTTGCAGGGAGGGTAAACGCTCCTTAGCGAAAGATGGGACCATCCGGATATTATAAAATCTAATTCGAAACGTATGCGCTCTTCTTCAGGATACGGACCTGCGTTCCCTAGGGGAAACCGTCTTTAGATCTGACGTACTTTGATCTCGCGGCCACGAAGAACCTCTTGATTAAGAACAGCTGACGTAGAGCGCATATTTTTCTAATAAGATTTCCCGAATATTGAGGTCGATAAATACACTGTTGAATACATAAACAGAGCATCTAAAGTGCTGTTCGTTAAAAGTGACTCACCTGATTTTTTTTTTTTTTTTTTTTTTTTTGCTAAAAATATTTTTTGTCTATTGTTTTTGGGGTTAAAATAATTTTTAATCTTACTAATATAAAGACCCCTTCCCGACCACCTAGGAAAAAAAGTTTATTCATCCTAAGGTATTCTATTGATAATTATAAATTTGGATATAAATGAGATTCGGGAAAAAAACTCTGTGCAAAAAAAATGAGTCAGATATCGCATTCTAATGATTAAACTGGTAAATTTAAATAGCTTTTTACAAAATATTGAAAACTATTTTATAATACACTCAGAACAATATTCTAGAGAATTCTAGAACAGCTTGAATTAAATCTAGAGTATTCCAGAATATTCCAGAAAGTCTCGTACAGTATAGAAACAGCTTGAAATAGCCACTCAAGTCACTAACCAGATGAAAGGGTACAAACACGCATCAGAACCACTTAAGGCATCTATTATTGCCCTCTCAAAAGCAGGCAAGTCTACGAGAGAAATTGCAGAAATTGCTATAACCTCGCAATCAACTGTCTCTCGAGTGCTTAAGGCACATAATGATGCCACCCCTGCTCGAAGGAAGGAAACAAGGGGACGAAAGAAAAAGATTGATGATAGAACTGGCAGGGTAATCAAGAGAACGATTGCGAAGAATAGGACGATAACTAGCCAAGAAATTGCAGCGAGTCTAAGCGAAGAGCAAGGTGTTAGTCTTGCCTCTTCAACAGTCCGTCAGAACAAGGTTACAAATCTTGTTAGAACAAGGCTATAAATCTTGTACACGAAGGTTTAAGCCGCTAATAAGCAAAGCCAACGAAGCCAAGAGACTTGAATGGGCTCAATATTACAAAAATTTCACCATAGAAGACTGGAACAATGTTCTCTTCTCCGATGAAACGAAAGTTGAGATAAATGCAAAGGATAAGTTGAGTTACTTTTTACCGAACAGCATTGCACAGTTTAATAAATAAGAAGTGCATCTACTTAAATATAGGTAGCCACTAAAAATAACGTTTATGCAATAAAAAAAAAAAAAAATATATATATATATATATATATATATATATATATATATATATATATATATATATATTGGTTTCTGCCAGGGGAATCCAGGTTCGAATCATGCCGGATAAACGCTTATTCTAATGAGAATTTTCGAATATTCAGGCCGGTAGGTGGAAATAAATATACAGTTTAATAAAAAAAAAAAACAGGGCATCTACTCAAATATAGATATCCATTAAAAATAATGTTTAAGCAATAAATGACTATATACCGGGTGTAACAGGAAAATTGTCCAAATCGTGTAAAAGCAAAATTGTTCATTTGTTAGATTAAGATCTGAACCGTTGTATTTTAGAAATGATTAAAGATATCTTACTGGAATCTTCTAATGTTTATAGAACACTATTTGACTCCACTTTGGGCAGTAAAAATTATTCTGTAAACGAAATCGATCATAAACGAAAATGACATGTTTATATTTAATTAATCATAAATCATAATTGAGGATCGTAAGATCATGAATGATTGAAATTAAGTGATTCTTACGACAAATATTATCAAGCTGGCTAAGCGTCTTATTTGAAGCCCGAGGAAAAGAAACAATTAGTTTAATTTTAATTTTTAGATATTAAACATTTTTTATGGTGAACAGTTATGCTTTTTACACAATTTGGATTATTTTTTGTTACACCTGGTATATATATATATATATATATATATATATATATATATATATATGTGTGTGTGTGTGTGTGTGTGTGTCATTTGTACTGTTTCGCTGTATCACAGCTGTTCCGTGCGACTAGACATCCGAATGTCTCAAGCCAAGATTGAAACCCAATATATATATATATATATATATATATATATATATATATATATATATATATATATTCCAAGATCATTTTCTAATTTATTCAAGATGATCTTCGCCCTCTCTAACATTTTAAATTTCTGTCCTGGAGTAGCAACCTCTTTCACAGGTTTCACGTACGATTTCGTTTTCAATTTTTTTTCACTGTGCTTTGGAGTGTCATAAATGAAACTCCTCTCTCACGTGCCAAATGTCTTCTGGATTGAGTTGGATCTTTTCTAATTGATGACTTTAACTCTAAGTTGAAATGATGATCCCTCTTCTTGTTGTGACTCCCTGATCCCGTTTTCCTCTCTACTCTACCCTCTTTTTTAAACTTATTCACCGTTCCCTTGATGGTTCTTGAATGCATTATAAAGATGGAAGCCAGATTATGAAAGTTTGTACCATTACTCAAGGCCTGAAGTGTCTTTTTCTTCTCATCATTGCTCAGCTGGGTATACATATTGGGGCTGAGACAAAACGATTTTAATATGCTATCTTTCTGAAAATGTCTTACATCGATTCTTACGGCAAATATTATCAAGATGGCTAAACCTCTTATCTGAAGACTGAGAAAAAGAAACAATTAGTTTAGTTTTATCTTTTAGATATTAAACATCTTGTGGGGTGAACAATTTTGCTGTTACACAATTTGGCTAATTTTGCTGTTACCCCATATATATATATATATATATATATATATATATATATATATATATATATATATATATATATATATATATATATTATTTATACATTATTTTATGGATAAAAATATTTAAGTAAATGCTCTGTTTATAATAAAGAGTATTAACATTTACCTGCCTGAAAGTCCAAAAGTATAAAAAAATATGCGTCCTCCGACAGGAAACGAACGCGTATCCTACACGGAACCACCATATAACCTGACGTGCTATACCATTCAGCTACAGAGGAAGCGACGGGTTCGCCATTTTAAATATCTGTTTTTAACTACAAACACCCTCGAACGCTCATATCTGTTTGAAACGTAACTTAACGTAAACAAATTAATTGTCGGACTTGGCCCACTTAATAATAATAATAATAATAATAACAATAATAATATATATATATATATATATTGTTTGTATGTAAAATCTCCTACACGTCTGTAGTTTTATGTCCGCACCGTTTATTCGGATGTGTGTTTATCGATTTTCCTGACAGGAGACAAGTCCATCAAAATCTACATCAGTATTTCCTATCATTGTGGTAAGTTTCTTATTATTTCCGAAATATCCCCAATTTAATTGGGAGAAGTGATCTGTCTTATTAGCATCTTTGCCTTCCCGCAGCGAGCTGTTGCAGACTTTACATCTTTCAACGTACGCGTCGGCCGACTTCGATTGAAACGTCATTAAGCCCCCACATCCGCCGCTCGGAGCAAAGTTTTGTAAAGAGGGGGGACTTAAATTATTTATCTTTCAGCTTCGTCACTCCGTTTTCTATGAATTTTCAATCTGAAATCGAGAAAGTATAAAGAACATTGCTCATTCAGCTGTCAGCTTTTCAGATTGACAAAATGACATACAACAGACGTCGGTACCCCGTGTCCAGTGGTAACAAAGGTCGGTGTTAGAAAAAAGAATCAGAATGGTAATCAAGCGTTTTGTTGGCTATACCGTGGCAATTTTTTTTTTTTTATAGAAAGTTACGTTTCAGATATAAATATGTGTGCTGTATCATACTTTTTGTATAATCTGCTAATATTTCTTTTATGTTAAGATGTTCGTCTCCAAGACAGTGACTCGTTGCAATTTCTTGGTTTTTCGTTCATGAAGTGGAAAGATTATATTGAATCAAGTGCTAGGTCTGCTACTACGAAATTTGGTTCACTGTGTCGATCCAAACATTTTTTTCTAACCAGAATCCATTTTTCACATTTATAAATCTACCATTTGTCCGTACATTGAATATTATTTATTTATTTGTTTTGTTTTGTTTTACGGCATATCAATCTCAATGTGTATTATAATACCGACAAAATTTTTATTGCTGGCAATATTTTTTTTTCCAACGACAGTTGAAACGACGGTTCTTGCCTGTTACCTGAAATTAAGCAACGTCGAGTTCCGTCAGTAAGTCAATGGGTGACAATGTTTAAATTCCAGTCGACCGCCCACGCAAGTATTACCGGCAAAGATCTAAATCTATCTATCTATCTATCTATCTATCTATCTATCTATCTATCTATCTATCTATCTATGTATCTATCTATCTTCTCAGTCTGTTCATATCTATCTATCTATCTATCTATCTATCTATCTATCTATATCTATCTATCTATCTATCTCAGTCCAATTCATATCTATCTATCTATCTATCTATCTATCTATCTTCTCAGTCTGTTCATATCTATCTATCTATCGATCTATCTATCTACCTATCTCAGTCCACTTCATATCTATCTATCTATCTATCTATCTATATATCTATCTTCTCAGTCTGTTCATATCTATCTATCTATCTATCTATCTATCTATCTATCTATCTATCTCAGTCCACTTCATATCTATCTATCTATCTATCTATCTATCTCAGTCCACTTCATATCTATCTATCTATCTATCTATCTATCTATCTATCTATCTATCTATCTATCTTCTCAGTCTGTTCATATCTATCTATCTATCTATCTATCTATCTATCTATCTATCTATCTATCTCAGTCCACTTCATATCTATCTATCTATCTATCTATCTATCTATCTATCTATCTTCTCAGTCTGTTCATATCTATCTATCTATCTATCTATCTATCTATCTATCTATCTATCTATCTATCTATCTATCTCAGTCTGTTCATATCTATCTATCTATCTATCTATCTATCTATCTATCTATCTATCTCAGTCCACTTCATATCTATCTATCTATCTATCTATCTATCTATCTATCTATCTATCTATCTTCTCAATCTGTTCATATCTATCTATCTATCTATCTATCTATCTATCTATCTATCTATCTATCTAAAACAGAAGATATCTGCATGTGTGTACGTCTGTGCGTTTTTGTGTGCGTGTATGCTATTTATGCAGGTCCACATTTCTCGAGCGATTTCGATGAAATTGTGCACACATGCTGCAAGATAGGTAAAGACCACCTTTTCAATCTACAACCCCCGGGTTTGGCAGATAATCGATATAACTGGAGGGTACGAAAAAAAAAAAAAAAAAAAAAAAAAACACCGCATAGCTACACACGAACAAAATGTTTACTGAATAAGATGATGTTCTTTGAACTTAATGCAAATCATACCTCATGTTAGACTACTTGATAGATTTCCTGCGACATTGACTTCACTCAAAAAATTACTAAAAATGGGAAAAGAACTGGTTTTCGTACTACTTAAAATAACGAAAAACTTGAATGACTTCCGCATTTTTTATCTAAATTTCTTCAAGCATATCGCAAAAAAATTCCATCATCTAAGAAATAAGATAATGTGGTTTTAGTCCTGCTCGCTTCCACACATATAACGAAAAAACCATAAAAAGCTGTTAAAAAAGCCCGTTTTTCGGCCATAATTCCCTGATTTTTCATCTGCTTTTTTCCAAAATTGCCTTGTAAATTACATATGGAACACAAATGCGTGAATTTTTGGTTTAGATTTTTTTCGTTAAGTAGACGAAATCTGCGACAAACTACTTCCAAAATTGACATTGCCAATAATTTCTTAATATGATTCCATTCTAAATTTGCATTCGCACAACCTTTGATGCCTAGATTGTTTAAGATGGATTATTAAAAGGGAAACATTTCCGAAGAACCTCTTACAGTAAACGTGCAAAGAAGGACGGGGGCGTTCATGCGTTTCCACTTGCAGTTGAATCAAGCTCTGACGCTTCATCCCTGTTTTTGTTCGGTTATTAAATTTGTGAACAATGCCATACCATTTGAATAATATTACGGCCACTGGAAATTTACTGAATGTCTAAAACATTGAAACAATTTAACCCCGAACAACGACCACACAAGGAGGTTTTATCGATGGAATTCCTTTATTAAGAACAATCAAACACTTGCGAAGGACACACCGTGAAAAGATGAGTGGGGGAGTAGCATGGGTATCCAACGGATGCAAGCGGGTACTGTGGCGGACATTTCTAAACAGTGGGTGCGGGTATATGGGAGGTGCGGTTATACAATTGCAGCTATGTACACCCTCGCAACGCCGGGTATTTCGGTATATATATATATATATATATATATATATATATATATATATATTATTATTATTATTATTAAATATAACAGATAATGATCTATAACGGCTCCTGATCAGACATAATAGACTTATGTCTGATCAGGAGCCGTTCTAATGTTCAAATGTTTGCTTTAATTTCTGGTGAAAATAAAGACCAAAATTGTCCAACATTTGGATATTTTTTATTAAGTTGTTCGTATTTTTTCGGCTTACATGAACCATCCTCAGAGTGGTTATAAAGACATGAAACAAGGATATCCACCGTTTGTTATTTTGACATAGAAGATTTCCATGCGACGATAACGGTCGCAGAATAGCAAACGCAGATCGTAAGTTCAAGATGCGGTACTATGACGTCATACCAGGCGAAAGGAGGAAGTATTACAACAGAACCAATGTCTAGATTCAATGTAATGTGTTGTGATTAGTTTGAAATATAATTTTGTTGAGTGTGGGTTGCTTTATTTTAATGTAGATGGCCTCCAATATCTAAAGGTTCTTTTTACTGTGTGTATGCGTGAGTATTATTGTGTTATCAACTAATATCTGTCTAATATTATGTACACGGCTATGTTTTTCTAAGAAATGTGTAATAGAAATAACATCAGAAAGGTAATAGGTAATTCTACGGGAGAGAGTGGTTGTAGTAAAACCAATATATGTAGTGGTTTTATTATTAGCATCAGAAATGCAATCTCTGAATTGGCATGTAAATTGATACACTAGATTGTTTTTTGTTTTTTAGAGGATTTAGTTGTGTGGTTGTAGTGTTATGAGAGACTATGAGGTCAATTGTTTTAAATTTTTTATAATATATGATGAACTTAACTTGTTTATTTTTATTAATGGGTTATATATATATATATATTTGAACAAATTTTTTTCCACTGAATGAACACATTGTTTTAAAAATGACGGAGAAAATTATTTTTCTTTAATAGGCAACATTTTCGTCCAATACTTCTTCATATAGATTCGTTGAAAAAAAACACACACACACACACACAAATATAATCATAATCAGAGAAACTGAAAAATGCATGTAGGTAAATAATGAACTAAAATGACTAAAATAAATGTATTACTAAAAGAATAAATTGAAATAAAGTCTTGTCCCCCACTATAAAAAGTAATGAGGACAATAGAAGATCGTGGCACAAACTGATGCGACGCCATGACCTGTGTGATATTTTTACGAAGCTGTGCTTTATTGATTGCTGCAAAGGATCTCTGAACGGCTCCCTTAAACTGATGAGCATTCTGGTGTCGTTCCTGTGAAACTATCTCCTTTATAGATCTGTTCGCACTGTGCTGTCGAACTCTCTGCCTCGAGTAGGGTGGAACCCGTACAAGGCTTTGCCGAAGGGCAAAGTATCGTCCAGGGAGGTAGACAGGCCCTGAACGCGTTTATGCGGGTTCTAAGGTAATATTTTGGGCTGAGCCTACGGGCTCGAAGTACCCACGGTAAACTCGGCCTTGTGCCACATACACCCCACGGGGTGTGGGGCTGTTAAATATAACTCTATAATAATACCCAGAGAGCGTTAAAATAGAAAATCATATTGTGTTGGGGTGACAAGTCTTTCGGACCACTCGAACAAAATGCAAAGGAAATATAAATTGAAATAAAGTCTTGGCACTCTCTACCAAAAATCAATGAGAACAATCGAAGATCGTGACACAAATTGATGCGGTGCCATGACTTGTTTGATATTTTGCGAAGCTGTCTTGTTGATTGCTGCAAAGGCTCTCCGATCAGTGTCCTTCAGCTGATGGATATTCTGGTATCGTTCTTGTGAAACTCTCTCCTTGATAATAATACCCCTCAGAGCGTTGAAATAGAAAATTTTGTTATATAAGGGTGACAAGATTTCGGACCATGCCGTATATAAGCTCCGAGTGGGTACAAGAATTTGTACTTATGACCCACCCATGAAACAGAGAACGAAGAAAGTTCTCCTTCTGACTTACACGAAACTTTCTGAGCTCCTGAAGAGGAGTAGGAGGCTATAGATTTCTTTGGATGATCCAAAGGTTATGAGTCCAATCCTCCATGGATGGTCAACGATTTTATATTTTTTAGTAGATCAAGCTAAATATCTAAGTTAATTTAAATATCTCACTTCCTCTGCATATTCCATTATTTTCTCTGTCTTTCAGTCTCTCTCTTTCTCTTTCTCTCTCTCTCTCTTGGTATATTCCTTTCTCTTTCTGTACGTATTTATCTATTTAACTCTCCCCCCTCTTTATTTCCTTGATGCGCTCTTTTTTCTCTGTATATATGCATCTATTTCTTTCTCTCTCTCTCTTTTAGCATATTTCTCTCTCTATTTCTCTGAACATATCTCTCTATTTCTTTCTCTCTAACTCCCCCCTTCTCTCTCTCTTTGTATATTCGTCTCTCTCTCTCTCTCTCTCTCTCTCTCACTTTATGCAAATTCATCTCTCTGGTTTCGTACATATTTCTCTTTCACATTATGGTCATATTGTTCTCTTTCTCCCACTCTCTATATATACATCTTACTCTCTCTACACTATCCCCTCTCTCTCTCTCTTTCTCTCTATATATCCCCCTCTCTCTAAAATCCGTGCGTTTTCTCTCTAGATATCACTCTCTCTCTTTCTCCGTAGATTTCTTCCTCCCGTTTTCTCTCTCTAAATTCCTCATTCTCTTTCCCTCTACATATTCCTCATTTTATTCCTCTCTTTCTTTCTAGATATTCTTCCCTCACTTTCTCTCTAGATATCCACCTCTCTTTTTCTTTCTCTATATTCCTCTTTGTACATATTCCTGACTCGCTCTGACTTTCTCCATATTCCCCCCTTTCTTTCTCTTGATTTATACCTATCTCTCTTTCTACATTTCCACTCTCTCACTGTTTTTCCCTACCTATCCCTCTCACCCAGTTTCTCTTTACATATTCATCCCTCTCTCTTTCTCTCTCTCTATTCTTTTCTACATATCTCCATTTCTCTAAAATCAAACTGTTTTATCTTGGTTTGATTAAAAATTTCATTTCACTAATTAATATTTTAAACTTATCACAGATTCGCTCTGATAAGGACTGATTGAAAATCTGACCCCTAAACAGCTGACCTCTTTTCCTTGTCAACATTAATTTTAAATGTATTCTTCGTCCTATGCATAAACTACCAGTAAGAATTTAAAGTCGCCATTATATATGGAGATGGCACAGTGTTGCTAATTGACACAGAAAGGAAACGATAGCAGCTCCTCCGAAATGTAGGAAAGGAAAGCATGAAAAAAAGACTAAGTATCATTTTTATGAAGAGAAAATGCATGGTTGTCAGCAAAAAGAAGAGTCCAACATGTGAATTCCATACTGAAGGAGCCAAAGTTTGAAAGTGGGAAAATAAATAGAATATCTAAGAAATGTTTTCTACAGAGGACGTGAAGTGTGACAGCGAAATAAGAAGGTAAATTACGATAGCGAAATATGCCTTCTGAAAGCTAAGCAATGTATTAAGAAACAAGATTTTTTTTAGAAACAAATACAAGTGTATTGAATTGTTAAGTAATATGAGTCCATTTATATAGCAGTGAATGCCGGACAATCTCCTCACATCTATCTATCTATCTATCTATCATGATATATCTCTGTTCTGATCTATCTATCTATCTATCTATCTATCTATCTATCTATCTATCATGATATATCTCTGTTCTGATCTATCTATCTATCTATCTATCTATCTATCTATCTATCTATCTATCTATCTATCTATCATGATATATCTCTGTTCTGATCTATCTATCTATCTATCTATCTATCTATCTATCTATCTATCTATCTATCTATCTATCATGATATATCTCTGTTCTGGTCTATCTATCTATCTATCTATCATGATATATCTCTGTTCTGATCTATCTATCTATCTATCTATCATGATATATCTCTGTTCTGATCTATCTATCTATCTATCTATCTATCATGATATATCTCTGTTCTGATCTATCTATCTATCTATCTATCTATCTATCTATCTATCTATCTATCTATCTATCTATCTATCATGATATATCTCTGTTCTGATCTATCTATCTATCTATCTATCTATCTATCTATCTATCTATCATGATATATCTCTGTTCTGATCTATCTATCTATCTATCATGATATAACTCTGTTCTGATCTATCTATCTATCTATCTATCTATCTATCTATCTATCTATCTATCTATCTATCTCCCACTTTGTGCATCTTTCCTTCCTTTTCTTTGTACATATTCCTCTCTCGCTCTTTTCTAAATATTCCACTCCCGCACTTTCAATCTAGATACCCGCTCTCTCTTTCGCACTAGATATACCTCTCTCTCTCTTTCTATCTTCATACACCTCCCTTCCTCTCTCGCTCTTTCATTCTACATATTCCTCTCACTCTTTCTCTCTTCATATACCTCTCTCTTTATATATATAATCTTTTGCACTCTCTCTCTTTCTCACTAGATATTCCCCTTTCTTTCTCTCTCTATATTCCTCTTTATCTTTCTCTCCTACAAATTCCTCTCTTGGTCTTTCTCTGTACATATACCTCTCTTTTTATCTAGATATTCCTCTCTCTCTCACTAGATATCCCCCTCTCTTCTTCTCTCTACATATTCCTCTCCCGCCTTTCTCTCTACATATACCTATCTTTCTTTCTATTTACATATTCCTCTCTCTCTCTCTCTAGACATTCCCCCTCTCTCTTTCTTTCAATCTAGATAACCCCTCCCTCTTTAGTTCTCTATATTCTTCTTTCTAAATATTCCTTTGTCGCTTTTACTTTCTTCATTTCCCTCTCTCTTTACATATTCCCCTCTCTCTGTTTTTCTCTATATATCCTCTCTCTCTTTCTCACACTATATTCCTCTTTCTTTTTCTCTCTACATATTTGTCTCTCGCTCTTTCTCTCTACATATTCCCCTCTTTCTCTCGCTATATACCTATATCGCTTTCTCTCTACATGTTCCTCATTCTCTCTCTTTCTCTCTAGATATCCTCCTCTCCCTTTATCTCTCTGTGTTCTTCTTTCTCTTTCCTACTAGATATTCCTCTGTCGCTCTTTCTCTCTATATATCCCCCTCTTTCGAAAATAAGACTTTTTATCCCGTTTTTCATTGGTGGTTACATTTTATTATATAAAATATTTTAAACCAATCACTGATCAAATTTGATCAGGTTTAATCGAAAAACTGGCCCCATTTCGAACGTCTCCGTTTCTTCGTCCTAACCTTTTTACCGTCAAGAAATTAGATTTGCGTATCGGTTACCTGACTTCAACGTGCAGAACATGTCACCCTGGGGCTGACGCATTGCACATCCCTTCTTCGTTAGGTATATATATATATATATATATATATATATATATATATATATATATAAATAATTAAAAGGCTTAAACACTAATGTTCCATGGTCATAATTTATTCCACTGAAATCGTAAATTCGATCCAATTAGGTCTGATGAATTGGATCGTATTTACGATTCCAGTGGAATAAATTATGAATTATGACCATGGAATATTAGTGTTCAAGCCTTTTTATTATATCCTTACTCTGTCCCGGACATTGAGTTCTACCTGGATTCTATCCTCTTGCATTTATTTTTATACAAATATATATATATATATATATGTATGTGTATGTATGTATGTATATATTTTTATATATATTTTAGATATATCATTGCATATGTATGTGTATATTTACTACTAATATTATCTATCTATCTATCTATCTATCTATCTATCTATCTATCTATATATATATATATATATATATATATATATATATATTACATGGAATCATTCATACAAAAAGTAGATTAGTAAAGTTAATGATATAAAATGGCGAAAAATCTTCGCAAACAAAATTTTAATATAATTAACTTTGCTAATCTACTTTTTGTATGAATGATTTATTGTAATATAAATTGAACTGCGCCACATATTTGATTTAAAAGAACTGATCCGATGCGCAAATTTTCGGGATAACAACTGAGACATTACTCTATTTATTGAACAATTTAGTTCATGCCACATTGACTGATACACTCCTACAACAAAGAAAAAAAAAATTCTCAAATTACCATATTAGTAAAAAGCGCATTCTCTTAAATTTTCAAAAAAATTCAAACTTAGCTTTGCCACTGTACGCACCAAATTTTTTATCCGTTAACAATAACACATTTCTAAAAAAAACATATTTCGATTTGCATTTAATCTTTCGTCTCTGATACTACCTGGATAATTTCCATGCCTGAGGATGACTGAATGTACAGTTGAAAGTACTAACAGATTTTTAAAAAAGACCTTATACAGCTTGTAGTTATTAAAAACAAGGATCATAACATTGATCGATTGGTTCGTAGGTTAATACAACTTTAAAATTTTGTTTGCGAAGAGATTTCGCCATTTTATATCATTAACTTTACTACTCTACTTTTTGTATGAATGATTCATTGTAATATAAAATGAACTGCACCACATATTTCATATATAGTTACATATATATATATATATATATATATATATATATATATATATATATTATGAATTTCTTGACATATGATGATATGGACATAGTCCGACAATAATTTTAAGACAGTTTTTATGTTTATATTATTATTTATTAAATTAAATAATAGTTTATTAAATTATTTTTTATGTCTTAAAATAATTGTCGGACTTTGTCCATTTTATAATGTGTGACGTCATTTGTTTACATTTGGATACGCATCGAGCAGATATGAATGTATGATAGAAAATTATGGAGGACTGTGATTTAAAAACAGTAAAATCGACCTTGCTAACCGAAACGCTCCTTTGTGGCTCAACCGGTAAACGCACGTCAGGCTATATGGCGGTTCCGTTAAGGATACAGGTTGGATTCCTGTCGGAGGACGAATATTTTCTATAAAAATTTCTCCGTCATTCAGGCCGGTATTTATTATAAACAGAGCATTTACTTAAATATTTGTATGTATAAAAAGATCGTATAAACATAAAAATGTCTTAAAATATATATATATATATATATATATATATATATATATATACACGAGAAAATTCTCGTATTGCCTCAGTAAATATTTTAGCTTAACAACTTGTACAAAATATTGCAATAACAAACCTAAATACGAATGTATGTGATTATTTCAAGCCTTATCACTTCCAAAGCCCTATCACTTCCAAAGCCTTATCACTTCCAAAGCCCTATCACTTCCAAAGCCCTATCACTTCCAAAGCCCTATCACTTCCAAAGCCTTCTTTCTTTTTTGCTTCTTTTTTTCTTTCTTCTTTTTCTCATTGAAACCAAGCAGCGTTCTGATATGTCTTTTCCGTTTTTTTTTCTCGTGATTAAAACAGCATAGTCCAAAATTTACGAGGTATTGACAGTGCTTAACATTGATGGTAACTATGAAACGACGGAATAATAATAATAATAATAATAATCAAACAGACACAGCCAAAATTACATTGTAACTATCCTCTGGGACATGCTTACAAAAGCTTACAGATCCGATATTATAAAAAAAAACAAACAAAAAAAAAAACAAAAAAACAACTAATTCAGGAAGTGTATGATTGTTGACATAGCTGTACCATCTGAGAGAAACATCTCTATGTAAATAAAAAGAGACAAACATCTTACATAGGATATATTACAACTACATTTTCACGAAGAATCACCCACCATCTAGCGGGCTACAATGTCATCAGACAACTCATTAATAACCAGCATAAGGATCATATTACTATGTGTTGTGGAGATGAACCCACCCCTCCTGAATATGAGTAGAATTCATCCAATTATCATCTATATTGACGCCGAGAATCGTCAGCAAAAGGCGAGCCTTATATCCTTACTAAAGGATTCGGTACGATTGCGTTGACTCCTACAAACATTAGATTTCATAAATGTGTTATCTTCATTCAATAGAATGAAGACATAACGGTTGCGACGAGGATTCGAAATCACTTGACTTTTTTTTTTC